TAAAAGTAAAAAGTAAACACTGAGTTTTGGCAATGCTTAGATTGTCGCATACTTAATAAGTTTACTATAAATGAAATTAAACACCCCAACGAATATTTATTGCTAGCATGAAATGGATATGTTTATCGATAATATTTCAGCTTTAGTAAAAGAAGAGCTTCTGGAAAAAGCGCCAGTCAGTTGATTGTCATTTCCATCCACCTACTCATCTATTGATCCTTCCTTCCCCAGATTTTTGTTTTTTCTTCTTCTTTCCTTGATTCTTTCCTTCAATTTTCAAACCCGTGATTAATTTTGGAATGTAGATAGGGCAGCTTCAAAAATTTTTTCGGTAGTCCCGGTCCTTCATTAAACGACATGATCCACCGCCTCTACTTTAAAACGCAACGGTGCCTGGTGTTCTATGCATCTGAGCCATCTCGTTCTTGGTTTTTCCCTTAGCTGCCGAGAGATTCCGCTTCGTAATTGTTTGTTCTGGCGTGGACAGTTTTTATTCCTCAATTTGGTGAAGAAGCAGATCACAGATTGCAGTATCTTCTGTTCAAGAATATATAATCAGAAAAAATCGCACTAAGCTTTATTAAGACGCAGTTACTGGGGCTTGTAATAGGAAGATAGCTGCTTTACTAGGCATTACGTGAAACAACCTGATTCAACATTTCGCACTGGCCAAAATTACAGTGGTTTATTGCTTGTGAACATGAAACTATAGACCCTTACAAATACCAGCTGTGAAACACTTCCTACTACCGTTCTCATTTTTTATGATTACCATTCTGAACTGTCGAATTGTACCATTTAGTTTTACAACAGCAAGAGCTGTAAACTTGGCAAATTTATGTAAATCACAGCAGGTCGCAGTCAAACGCAATGCTCAAATTGTTTCACGGATCAGGCATTTTAAAGGCTAATGTATTTGTGTTTTAGCTTTGGTAAAAACGGAGCTGTCGAGCGATGATGACTGTCCATCCAGTGGCCTGCAACGGCCTGAATAAATGACAACCAGTTATAAAGACCTGAGGGCAGAAACTGATTGGTTTGCCTCGCCCCTCTGCAAACATATCAGCAGTAAAGTTTTACGCTCGTAAGCACCCAGTTGTCATTAGTTGGCTACTTTGATATACGTCCCTTTCTGGCAATGTCTGGTGATTATTCGCAGTGGGGAGCTTGAGGGGTAATAAGGGAGTTGTTACTGGAATTGTTACTTTTCGTTTTCCAATGATGCGGTGTCGCTATTCCATTGAGTATGTGATCTTGGAATGGCCTCATTGGCCAATAATTTTGAGGTCCATGAAAACTTTTAATCACATTGCCATAGCGAATAACTGTAAGAAACCTCAGTTTTTCAGGCGTTTCTTAATTGCGCCCTTGATGCCCTTCATATTAAAGGTCAGACAGGAAACTAGTTTGATAATTAAGCTATGCTTAAGCAAGAAGTTGAAGTACGGAATGTATTGCAAGAGGACCGACTATCTCTCGACCTGACTAGACATCACACTTGGACCTAAGAGACAACAAATAGTCCGTAGGATCATCTCTAGAATGAGCTGAAGAGGTTCATAGGATAAAAATGGAAAAAATTTTTACAGAACAGGAGCTTATGGTAAAGACTTAGAGAAGCCTTCATCCCGCAGCGAATCGAAAAAGGCTGCTGAGAATGACGACTAAAACAATGCAAGTTTATGTCAATTAATGGGAACTTAGATTACGTGAGAAAGCGAGAAAGTGCATAAACATTCCTCCTTATTATGATCTGTGAAAACGCAATGGCTAGTATAAAACTTTGTGGAAGCATCAACAAATTCAAAATCGAAATTGTGCAACATTTTGAAAGTTGCTTGTGATGGGCAGTTCTAAGTTTGTGATGCGCTTAACGGCCTAGGCTGGGATAATCAGGGTCGAAAATAAGGGCACTCTATTTGAACTATATATGGTTTTCCGACAATAATCTCTACCACCAGCGTATCCAGATGAATCATAGTAAAAAATCCAGGATGCCATCGACTCCAGCGTTAATGGGTGCTTGAAAATGAATCAGAAACTATTTAGAATATTAAGAACGGCTGGAACGCTGTTATGCCGGTGTTAATGCTTTTAAACCGAAAAGCGTAATTTTATATTTTAGATTTAGGTTCACACCGAGTCGCTGCACTTCTCTGGTTACAGAAGATTGTATCTCAAACAGTAGATTTAGACTGTCATTTTTATCTGTTTATGTTTCCCATCTTATGATGATGGATTTAGCAAGCTATATGATCAGTCATAGCAAATTTGGTAAATTATTCGTACAAAATTCATTGTAAGACTAGGAGAAGTAAGATATTCTATGCCTTTGCGATGTTTATTGATTATGTGCTCCGGCTAATAAGAAACGGTGGATCTGCGATTGTGTTAGATGCGGCAAACATCTGCGTAAGCTCTCTAACATTTGTGGATGATCTCGTATTGCATGCGGGCAACTTCAGCGCTGCCACGTCACTGTTCTCAACTTTGAAGCAGAAGTGTTCTGATTCGGTTC